CATAGAATGCTTCAATAACGCAAGTTGAAGCTTGAATTTTTTTTTTTTTTTTTTTTTTCCTGTTCTTTCCACTTGAGAAATTCTGAGCATGTTCTTCCCTTATGGTTTTCTAACTCCAGGTCTTTGTAGGTCTCTTTGTAATGCTTAAGTTGCCCTTTGAAATTTATGGTTCAGTTCTTTTACTTTCTCATTTCTTCCATTTGCTTTAGCTTCTCTAAACTCAAAAGCAAGTTTCAGAATATCTTTTGAATTCAATTTGATCTTTTCTTTCTTTTCTGTGTTTTTAATGACCTTTGGATTTCTTCCTGATGTTGTTCTTGATGTTATCCCACAACTCTTCTGGTGTTTGGTCATTACTGTCTAATACATAAAATCTGTTAAGATGGTCTCTAAATTCAGGTGGTATCTATTCACGGTCATATGTTTGCTTTCATGGACTTGTTTTAATTGTTTTCAGCTCCAGCCTGAAATTTGTCTATGAGTAACTGATAAGACTATTGCACAGCTTGCTCCTCGCCTTGTTTTGGCTGATGTTATCGAGCTTTTCTACCATCTGTTCCCACAGATGTAGTCAATCTGATTCTGTATATTCGATCTGGTGAGATCAATGAGTATAGTTGCCTTATATGTTGTTTAAAAATGTTATTTGCAATGCATAAGTCGTTGGTCTTGCAAAATTCTAGCATGAGATCTCCAGCACCGTTTCTGTCATCAAAGCCATATTTTCCAACTACTGATCCTTTCTCTTTGTTTCCGACCTTTGCAACCCAATCACCAGTTGTTGTTGTTGTGACGTGCCGTCGAGTCGGTTCCAACCCATAGCGACCCTGTATAGGGTGTCCAAGGAGCAGCTGGTGAGCTTGAACCACCAACCTTGCAGTTCAAACGGCTTTGCAGTCTGACGCATTAATCCACAGCACCACATTAATCACCAGTAATTATCAATAAATTTTGATTGCATGTTTGATCAATTTCATACTTAAGTTGTTGGTAGAAGTCTTCAATTTCATCCTCACTGGCTTTAGTGGTTGATGCATACATTTGAATAATTGTGGTATTAACTGGATTTTCTTGTAGGTGTATGGATATGAATCCTAGCAAAGACAACTCTGTACTTCAAGAAAGATCTAGAAATGTTCCTTTTGACAATGAATGTGATGAAATTCTTTTACAACTTGTCATTCCAGGCATAGGAAACCATATACATATCTGATTCAAAATGGCCATTATCAGTCTATTTCAGTTGTGTCATCTGCATATCGCACACTAATGTCTAGGATCTTAATGCATTCCATTTCATGTTTCACAACTTCTAGCTTCCTAAATTTAGACTTCGCACATTCCATGTTTCCTTCATTCAATTCTCAATTAAAAGTTATTAACTGATGTTTACAGCTGTTTCTCCTCATTTGGATTTGTGCCCCATCAGAAAATGAAGGTCCCAAAAGTTTTACTCCATTCATGCCATCATGATTAACTCTACTTTTAGGAGGCAGTCGGATTTTGAGTGCCCTCCAACCTGACAGGCTGATCTTCCAGCACTGTATCAGACAATACTCTGTGGTTTTTCATTATGTTTTCACTTTCTAGTACTATATCTGACAATTTTCTGTTGGTAGTCCTAAGGTTTTCAGTGGCTAACCATTCTGAAGTAGTCCACCTCTCCTGCCTAGTCAGTCTTAAGTGTGTAAGCTCTGCTGAAACATGTCAACCATAGGGTTAAAATACCAATGACATAAGCTTCTGGCATTGTAGCAACACCAAAGTCACCACAGCACAACAAATTGACAGACAGTGGTGAGTGGAGTGGCTGACAGGTCTGAACAACTAGCCTTGAAGTTAGAAACCCAACACTTACCCCACTGTACCAAGGGAACCTTCACAGGCAAATATTAACACAACTTTCTTTCTAAAGAGATGGACAACCCCATGCTACGTTCGCATGATCTGGTGACACAGTTCTCTGAGGGCTAATAAGGTGCCGAACCATAGTTATATATAATAAAGTACAAAGAATACTGGGCTGGTAGTCAAAGGAGCTGGGTCTGGGATCAGATTCTCCTACTTCATAGGAAGACATGGGAGAAATGTAAGAGTTACAGGCAACAGAGGGAAGTATTTTAATATAAACAATCCCTCAATAACAGTGGTCTATGGGTAGATAGGACTCCCGGTGTGGTAATAAAGGATAAACACTGAACTGCTAGCCACAAGGCTAGTGGTTCAAATTTACCAGCGGCTCCTTGGTAACCCTACACAAAGTCGCTATGAGTTGGAACCAACTCAGTGGCACTTAACAACAACAATGAGTAGACAGGGGTCCTGCTGTGGTACTGTAGGATAAACACTGAACTGCTAATTACAAGGTCAGCAATTCAAGCCCACCAGTCATTCCTCAGAAACCCTATACAGAGTACTATGAGTCAGAACTGAGTCAACAGCAATTAACAACAACTTGTAAACTTGTATGGTAGACACAAAGACTGAATGGGTGTGAGAGGGAGACTGGGAGTATGTCCACAAAGATAAAGATTTGGCAGAGGACATTTATACATGGATAATTACCTTTGCTGCAAACCTATCCATGAATGTGAAGGAGTACACAGAGAGCAAAGTTATGAAAACTTCTTAGACATTACCAAACACCTTGAGGGAACAAGTTGCTGGGCCTAGGCACTCAGGACCACAGTCTTAGAAGACACCATGGTCAACTGGCACAACATAGTCCACAAAGACAAGAATCTATCTTCTATTTGGTGAGTAGCAACTGGAATTTTAAAAGCTTTTGAGCGGCCTTCTAAGTTGCAACTATAGGTCTCTCCATATTTAGAGAAAAGAAGATTAGAAGATACTTGAAAACAATTCACCCAAAGGATTAATGGACCACATGAGCATCAGTTTCCATGACCCCGAGATCGGAAAAATCTGACGGTGAACAGTTACCACTACCAACAACTATGAAAGGGATCACAAAGAAATTCCTGGATCGAGTGGGAGAAAATGTATAATAAAACTTAAAATCATAAAAAAGACCAAGCTTACTAGTCAGACAGAGACTGATGGAACTCTAAGACTATGGACCTAGGTCACCATTCTGGGTGGGAACTGAACTCATCCCCAGGGCTCAATTTTCCGCAAAGTAATAGATAGGTACATGGCCAGGAAGGTGAGTGAGTGGGTGGGGAAGTAGGGTGGGGGTGGAGGCAATAAAACTAGTGAAATTTGAATACCATCTAATGGTCAACAATTCAAGATCAAAAAAACAGTATTTAGCCAAAGGAGAAAATTCAGAAGGATTGAAAAAGTAGGATGAATGAAAACAAGAAACAACGGAGGAAGTAGATACATGACCTTGCATTGAGGGGATTATAATCACTGAGATGAAATGAAGTGTGTATGATTTGTTGAATGTAAAACTGATGATCTGCTCCATAAATCTTCACTCAATTCACAATAAAAAGTGAAAAAACCAAACCAAACCAGATTCTGCTACTTGTCACCCAAGTATCCTTTTATCCAATGTATTACTGATTCTGTGTATCATGCACTGGGCTGAATAGTAGGAAGGAAGATGATAAGAGGGGAAAATGATCAAATAAACGAGACAACTTCTCTGCTCAAGAAGAAAGACTATCTTCTATGCAGTTACATCACTCAGTTTTATAGCTCTTCAGTTTCTTCACCTATATATAAATTGGGAAATAGGGGAGACTTTCTCCATCTTAGTTTTCTATACATTTTGCTCTGGATAATTTTTTGTTGTGTGGGTTGTTCTGTGCCTTTTAGAATCTTGTCTGATTTCTTTACTGCTGCTATAACAGAAATACCACAAGTAGGTAGCTCTGACAAACAGAAATTAATTTTTTCCCCATTTAGGAAGCTAGAGGTCCGAATTCAGGGTGCCAGTTTTAGGGCACAGTTTGGTCTTTGTTTCTTTTGAGTTTCTGCTCCTGGTCAATCTTTATGTGGCTTGGCATCTGTCTTCCCCCAGCTCTGCTCTGCTCACATAGCTAGTCTCTTTTTAGATCTCAAAAGAGATCCAGTTAAGGTGCACACTACACTAATCATGCATAATTAGCATAATAAAACCAACCCAATCCTAAATGGGATTATAACTACAAGCATAGAGGTTAGGATTTTATGACATATTTTGCTGGACAAAATTCAATGTATAATAAACAGATGGTGAGCAACACCCCTGACCCATACCTGTTAGATGTCAGAAGAAACTCTCCCACCAGTCATGATAACCAAAGCTGCCTCCAGACATTATTGACAAATGTCCCCCAGGAAGAGAGATGGGTGGGGCTAGCCTCAGTTGAAAACCATATGAAAGCATTTAAAAACTATAAAGCCTTAAATCAATTTATGTCAGTATTGATATAAATCCATCTGTAAGATTATTTACCAACAACTAAAAACAAAAACAAAAACAAAAGTCTTTAAAGAGTTTTATGGTTTCGTTGTTGTTGTTAAGAACCGTTGAGTCGGTTCTGACTCACAGTGATCCTGTGTAGGTTTTCCAAGGAGCAGCTGGTGTACTTGAACCGCTGACAGTGCGGTTCAAACTGACCTTGCAGTCCAGTGCATTAACGCACAGTGTCATGCCAGGACTCCATGGTTTCCTTTGGAATACTTAATTTTATATTTTTATAACTTTTACCCATCATTAAAAACCCCTCAGGAGTCCTGGTGGAGCACTGTACAATGATCCCTAGACTGCTAAGTGGAGAGCTGACAGTTCAAACCTACCAGCCACTCCTCAGAAATTCTGCACAGGGTTGCTATGAGTTGGAACAACTCGATGGCACTTTATAACAACAAAAGCCCTTCAAGACTTTTCAATTAATTTTATTTACCAAAATAAAGTCTCTTCATGAGAACATATTTTCTAAATGTATCACCCTACTAACATGACACTCAGAGTCAGACAGAATTGCTATTTCTACAAAGCAGAAACTTTCTTTTCTTTATCCAAATTCAAAGTGCTCTTTGCCTACCTTTTAAGGACAAGGGATTGGATCTTGTGAATTCTGCAGTTGATGGTTTGTGCTGTTTACGAACTTCTAAGTACTCCTTAACTCTTGAATCAATGGTTTCTTTCAGCAGTAAACAGAGTTCCTAAAGCAAGGTTTTAAAACAATGTATGTAAACACCTAGCTAAATACAGTGCAAGAAAAACCAAACAAACAAAAAAACGTAAGACATGTTAAAAAGTCAGTATCAAACTTTTTTTGTGGGGTGTGTGTGTATGTGTGTGAAGATTATACACAACCAAACATACAACGAAGTCAACAATTTCTAAATGTACAATTCCAGGACACTGGTTACATTCTTCAAGTTCTGTTACCTCTCTCGTCTTTTTCTAAATGATTTCACCATCATTAATACAAATTCACTGTCCCCCTAAATTTCTCATCTAATTTCTGAGATCCTATTAGAGTCTTGGTGTGGCACTGTAGGATAAGCAGTGGACTGCTAACCACAAGGTTGGTGCTTTAAAACCCATCAGTCACTCCTCAAAAACCCTATACAGGGTCGCTATGCATTGGATCCGACTGGACAGTGCTTAGTAACAGCAAAGGAGTCCTGGTGCGGCGCTGTGGGTTAATGTGCTGGACTGCAAAGTCGTCTTAACTGCAAGGTTGGCAGTTCAAGCTTACCCCGCTACTCCTTGGAAACCCTATACAGGGTCACTATGGGTCGGAGCCAACTTGACGGTACTTAACAACAACTGTAACAACAATGTCAGTTTGATGACATATAGATAACTCTTTAAAGAACACTATGTTCAATGTAAACATTCTTTTCTAATTAAGCTAAACTAACTCTTGGTGTGGAACTGTAGGATTAGCACTAGACTGTGAACTACAAGGTCGGCAGCTCAAATCCAATAGGTACTCTTGGGAAACTCTACACAGGGTCACTATGAGTTAAAGATGACTCCAGGGGATGGTTTCAGTTTAAGGTCTAAAGATTCCATCAGGGCAACAGTTTAGAGGGAGTCATTGAATCTCAGTGGCTCCAGAAAGGTTGGATTTCACAAAATTTGAAAATCTGTTCCACTTTTTCCCCCATTTGGATCAGGGTTCTTCTATAGAATCTTTAACAAAAATGTTCAGTAATGGCAACTGGGCACTAGCCAGCTCTTTGGTCTCGTGGCAAAGGAGGCAATTGTTCATGGAGGCCTTTAGTCATACATCACAATTCCTCCTCGCTCTGATGCTCCTGCAGAATAAAGACCAAGTGGACCTTGGAGGACTGCATGCAAGCTTTTAAGACCCTAGGCACTATGTAATGAACCAGGAGGTAGGAGAGAGACACTAAAATCAATTATTAGATCAATTTATTTTAATGTCCCAAAGAACCATGACCCTAAACCTCTGAACCAACAAAACCCCATGAGGCAGTTGGTTACACACAGACAGTACCAGCAGCTGCCTTTTCACACCTTTCTTAAAATATTTTGGTAGAAATATACTAAATACTTATTTGCCAATTCAATCTTTTTCAGATGTATAGCTTGGGTATATCAACTACTTTACTCATGGTGTGCAATTTCCCTTCATTGATGCTAAATTTCCCTTCGTGAACATTTTGTTTGGCTTTTTTTTTTTTAATTTAGCTATGCGTGTTGAAAGGATGTCATATATTCTCACTGATAACACCACAGATACAAATTTGTTAGTAAGGTGTCTTCGGAACCATGATGTTGGTTCACTCTGTGATCTGGTAATTTATTTCAGTTCTCCCTGCCTTCATGTCACAGTTCTAGGAGGAAGATAAAAAGGAATCACACTGACTTCAATATAAAAATTAGTATGATGAGCTGATAAAATCAGTGAGGTAAAGAATACTTCCACGAAAACACCAGTAAGTTGTTGAGATGAATAAAAGAAGTAAGAGAGAGCCAACACTGGCTGGCAGCCAGGGTCTCACTGAAATGTCTGCTGTGGCCAGGCAGGGGGCAGCCCTAGGGAGAAATCACACACTGACATACTGTGGGTGCAATTGGCAGCCCAGTCCCTAGGGGGCGGCTCTCTGTGATTTCAGCGGACTGTAGTCATGTAGAGATACAGATACGGCATTGACAGATCTTAATTTTTCAAGAGTAGCCATAAACAGCAGTTTTTATTAACTTCCCCTCCCCCCATTTATTGAAATTGGTTCAATTTAAAAAAAAATCTTAACACTGTCATTCGGACCTCAGGTTCACGAATCTACTGACCAAGGAATAGCATTGAGCAGTGGGTTCAAGAGAAACTTGGAAATCAGTAATCTGATTTTCCTCCATGCTCTTGTTGATGATATAGCACACATGCCTGTAGCCTCTGTTAAAAGTGCACTAAATATAACTACCTATTAATGCTGAATGTAAACATTTACAACTTCGGAAACCCTGTACAGGGTCACTACGAGTCGGAACCAACTCCACGGCACATAACAACAACAACAACATCAATGCTGAAAACAATTTAACTTTTTCATATTCTTTAAAGTAGATCGATGTTTAATCGGCAACAAAAACACATGGCTTTGATTCTATTTCAACATATCATGTTGTTGTGGTTGCTGCAACAAAAACCTATGCTTCTTAATTTAGATTAAGACCTGCCCATTCTGGTTCAATTCCTAAAGGCTCTGCAGAAGGCTCGGAGCTGTGGAGGTCACCTCAAACCTGTTTCACTGGTTTCTTGCAATGCCATCTCAAGTTGATCTCTTAGAATCTTCATAAATTAAAATGAGAACAAAGTCTAAGCCGCTTCTAAGGGCAATGAGAGCCAAGCTTTTTCTTTTATTGTAAAGGCTATACTTCTCACACCGTATATGACCACCTTGATTTCATTCACAAATGTGAACTTCTAGATAAAACAGAAATGCTGGTGTCTTCTCTCCTGATTTTCACTTTGCAACTCAGAGATGTAGCGCCTTGTGGAATACAGATATCCATTTACAGCTGAGTATTTTGGCATTGTTCACTCAACAGAAAAGCAACCATGCCTCATACTGTTATTTTAATTAAAGAAGTTTGTTTCACATGCAGGGCTCAACTATGACTGAGCTAAAAAAATATGCGAACGACATACATGGAAATAAGAATTGCTAAAATTTGGCCATAAATGCCCTATAAGGCTAGAACTAAAAATAGCATGACAAAAATAGAGCAAAGCCCCATATACATAAACATTCTCCCTATACTTAATGAGGCTTTGCTGCAATGACAAGTTTCAAGAATGAAAGGTAAACCCGTGTACAAAGTGGTCAAGATACCCCGATAACTGCAACATGTAGGGAAATTGCTCCTTCAGAACCAGAGAAATGAAAGAAAACTTCAAAGCTAAATGTGAGGGGCAGAAGAGAAGAACAAGTTAAAATCAAGAGACCATGAGAAATGCATTTGGTATCCCCAGACTACCAGAGACTTAAATTCACTTCTTCAAGTTTACAATGAGACCGTTTTTGAGTTCAATTGTTTGGGTACAAGCACTACTTGGGCTAGACTCAAAATAAACATATATTTAACACATGTAATCAGTTCCTTTTCTGCAAAGGAACTGGATATTCTTAGACTTTCACTATATAAAGTGACTGTTAAAGTGCGATCAAGGAGCTCTGGTAGTTTAGTGGTTACGAATTGGGCTGTGAACTACAAGGTCAGCAGTTCGAAAACTACCAGCTGCTCCGTGGGAGAAAGATGAGGCTCTCTGCTCCCATAAAAATTTACAGCCTCGGAAACCCTGTACAGGGTCGCTTTGAGTCAGAACCGACTCCACAACACATAACAACAACAAAGTGCGATTAAATTGGTGGCTCATGAAATCCCAATCATGAGGAAATAATCTAATGATAATAGAGATACAAGTGTTGAGACATTGAACACAGGCTAAAATCATATCCTTTGCTTGACTAACTTTTCTTTTTTATGATACACACACACAAATGATCCCAGAGCAATATTAATATTGGTGAACAATTTTCAAGGAACAATTGAAAGTAGAAACAAGGGATGACCGACTTTGCTTTGAGAGGAAAGATTTGGTCGCTGGCATGGCCTGCTGCTGCCGCAGCTCTGCAGGTCTGATCATGCAGCCTTCCTCTATGCTAAGTCATGCCCCACTGCACTACAGTAGGGACTAGGTGGAGACACATGGCTAGGTAGGGTACCCTGGAGACCTGGCCTCACACACACTTCACATAGGAGGTGACTCATGTACCCATTGCTGTATTTTAAAGCCTCCCTAGTCAAGTGATGAAATAGCAGTAAGAAAGGTGTAAGGCCAAGGTGGTAAAGCAGGGAGAGAATGGAGGACAATATGAGTCTGGAACAGTGGATTCTAGAATGCTGCTAATTTTTAAGTCAAGTCAGAGGCTTTACGAGTGAGCTCCCCTTGGGCATGTATTAGTCACTTTGGGGAAATGAATGAACTGCTCTGAATCAAGGGGACATGTGTTAGTAAGCTAAAACTTAGAATCACAGAGACGTGAGTTGCAGTAGAAGATGCTGGCCTGATAACTATTAAATCCTAAAGCCGCCAGTAGACAGTGACTTGTCTCCTAGGCCAATCTTGCGCTGTCCTTTCCCAAATTTGGGGTATTTGGTGCCCTCTACAAAATTCTGAAATCCTGATATCATTTACCTCTTAACTGAAAATGTACTACCCTAGATATTTTCTTTGGGATAACCACCATTTTTTTTTTTTTCTAATTATCTCCAAAAAACTGATTTAAAAAAAAAAATTATTCCTTGATTCCACCAACCCCCCCCCCCCCGTCTTGGGGGTAAGGGGCGCACTATCATTATTTTCTTCTCCACATACCATCTTTTTCTGAAGCATATTTTTATTTCTAGTTCTAAAAAGCTACTGGAGCAAATGGGTATTATGGATGACAAGAAGTGCTGTGGTATTTTGAAAATTATATAAAAGCCATGGCCTCACTAATCCTGTACTCACGTGAGCAGGGATCTGGAGAAGGACACAAAGTACATGTGAGAGCTAAATCCACGTTATAAATGAGATCGATGAAGCTTTGAGACAGGAGTGATTTATTATTCTTGCCATGGACTTGGCTCTGACTCATGGAGACCCTATATACAACGTAGAACAAAACACTGCCCAGTCCTACGTCATTCTCATAATCAGTGATATACTTGAGGCCATTACTGCAACCACTATTTATTTTGAGTTCCTTCCAATAGAGGGGATTCATCTTCCAGCACTACTATATCAGCAATATTCTGTTTTGCTCCATAAGATTTTCATTGGCTGGTTTTTGGAAGTAGATCATTAGGCCTTGCTTCTAGTCTGTCTTAGTCTGTAGTTTCAAAGAAACATGTTTAATATGGATGAGTCAACTGGTATTTGAAATACCCATTGCATAGCATCCAGCATCAAATCAATATGCAAACCACTACAGTGTGAAAACCTGACAGAAGGCTGGTATGCAGTGACTTACACAGCATCTAGTTGAGCCCTTTCATCTGTAGATGAGGCAGCTGAGGCCCAGGGAAGTCAAGAATCAATTTCCTGTCACATGACTATACACTTTACTCACTGACCAAAGTGAGGGAAGGAACACAGCCAAATGTCTCCTCATTTGTTGTCGGAGGCTCACGATAATAAAAGGACGGTAGAAGATAAAAGTGTAGAAGATGAGGATTTCAAGCAGGTGTGAAAGATCAGACTTGTGCTAACCCGTGCACCTGTTCCAGGTGCTCGCTTGGTTCCATAATTCACAACCAGTCATACTAAAATCCCTGCTTACCTAGCTAGAGTTAGTCACATCTTTTCTTCCTTCCTTTCTTTCTTTTTCTAAATATAGAGAACCCCTCCCCCTAAAACAAAAGGACTGGAAATAGATGGTTTAATAATAGAGCGACATATAAAATGTACGGATGCAGCCATTTCTGAAGAATAAAAGGGGTGGGGAAACAAGAGGGTGTATATCTGGGGTATATTATTGGGGATAAAATAATTGTGCTTCAAGGGTTAAATACCACTCAGAATTTTTGCCGACTTTTTGTGAAAATGGAAAGCTAGACAGTTAATAATTCTTCTTCTAGCAGCAGCTACTTGCATTTAAAAGGTGAAAACAGTTTTGTTTTTTTTCTTACCTCTTTCTTCTCTTCAGAAAACCAGCTGGTATCTTTGTTTGAACCTTGAGGTGATATATGCAGATCCACCAGGACAGCAAAGTTCCTACACTTGAAAGACATAATGGCAGAGTCAGTATCTATGCGATCTACGCCAGCAAACAATGAGAATATCTCACAAATTTCTACGTGTCCACATATAATGAAATGGTGATTCATTTTTCCCCCAACAATGTTCTGGGATAGGGAACAGGATTATGGATCATAATCCTATACTCCTTTCACAAATTAAAATTTTATAGTGCAAATATGCTGATGAGAAATGCAATTTTAATCTGGCTGGATGGAAAAGACAAAATACGTCTGGCCTATAACTCTCAAAGGGGGCAGCCCAGGCATTCAGTGGCAGTCAGAAGGCCAGTTAAGTTAAATAGAAAAGTTAAATAGGCCAGTTCAACGTAGGCTCCAGAAAACAATTATTTCTTGAACAACCAGGTGAATTCTTTATTTTCAGTAGGAAAGAACAGATATGAGCTATTATCTGGTTAGACAGACTAGACATCTTGGGATGGAAATGGAAGCAAGGAAGAATGAGACAGAATCAAGGGCAGAATCAGGATGATGGTTATCAAAATGAAAGAAGATTTTTACTAAAATATGCTGGAGAACTGTCCAAAGCCTCTGTTTTATTCTACAAGTCTGCCCAGCCCTGCACTTTTGAGAAAATCAAAGTGCATCAAATCTGTATTGTTCAACAAGGTAGACCTTAGTCACATGTGATGATTAGCATTTAAGATGTGACCATGGCAACTAAGAAACGTAATTTCTTATTTTATTTCATTGTAAGTAATTGAAATTTAGTGTAAGTAGCCACCAGTGGCTACTGCACTGCCTAGCACAGCTAGAGATCCTGTAAAATGGTGAGCCTTATAAATCCTCATACCTGACAGGCACAGTGATTTCTGAGAATGTCAGGATAACAGAGAATGTTTATGAAGGAACAAAAGACCAAATGGAAGGTTGTGGGGATGTCTAATACTCCTAAACCCTGGGGGGTAAGTTTACAGCCTGAAATGAGAAGTCACTGAATGCACCTTTTTGGCAGCATGGGGTTGGTTAGTTTGAATTTTATGCAATGATTCAATGGAGAAAGGAAAGTATTTTCAACAAATAGTGTTAGAAGGCCAGATACCTATGGGGATTCCAGGGAGGCTGGGAGAAACTTGACACTGACCTCACACTATAAACAAAAATTATTTCTTTTCTTTCTTTCTGAGATGAATTACAGATGTAAACATAAAAGCCAAAACTTATGTTTAGATCTATAATCCTTGAGGCAGGAAAAAATGTCTTAGCTAGAACCCAGAAAACACTAAATACAGAAGGAGAAAAAATGTTAAATTGGATTTTGTTGAAATCAAAATTTTCTGTTCATCGAAAGTCACTGTGAACATAATGAATACATATGCCACAGATTATGATAATATATTTACAATACATATATCTGACATAAAGCCTATCAACAGATAAACAAACAACTGTGGTATATTCAGACAATGGAATCCTACTCACCAAACTACTGATAATGTGAACACAGTTTAGTCTTGAAGACATATATAGAGCAAAAGATGCCAAACCAAAAGCTACAAATGTCAAGATTCCATTATATACAACTCCTGTTGTTGTTGTTGTTGCTAAGTGCCATAGAGTTGGTTCCAACCCTTAAGAGACCCTTCATAGGGTTTCTGAGAAGTAGCTGGGGAGATTGAACCATCAGCTTTACAGTTCAAACCAACTTTGCAGTCCAGCACATTAACCCACAGGGCCACACCAGGGCTCCATATGAAGCTGTAGAACAGACGAAACAATTGTGAAAGAAATCACTGGCACAAAGAACTTTCTAGGAGGTTAGGAATATACTAGAAGTATGCTTTGATGGCATTTACATCTGAGGTAAGTACATTTTATTGTATATAAATTATACATCAATAATAAATAATATTTTAAGGGATACATGAAAACATTCATATTTGTTGACAGCCATTTAAAATGCAAGAATTATGTTCTTGAAAATATGTGAGCATTTTGGGAGAAACCAAACTGATGTATATTGGGCGATAAACAGGGACACATGACCAAAGATGGTCACCTACAATGTTGCAAACACTGCACTGTGACCCACTAAAATGAAGTTTAGTGAACTACAGCCAGCATTTTATTTTAATGAAGGAACTGAAAAGAATAATGGAATGGAATAGAAAATTATCAGTGTGAGATATAATAAGGTCAAGTATTTGTTTGGTAAAACTTATCTATGAATGTTCTCAGTCAAGATATAAAATTTATTTCTTACTGTGGGTTGTGTTAAAAAATGTTTGAAAACCATATTTAAGTAAACTGTTTTGTTTTGTTTTTTTAAAGTTTCTTTCAAACTGTTGCTTGTAGATTTAACCTTTTAGGAGTATGCTGCCACCAGGTGGAGGTCACGTGCTACAGCTACATTAGCTGAGCCAGAGATTGTTAACCTTTCCTGTGCCATGGAACCCTTATTAGGCAAGCTGTGGGATAATGCACTAGACTACAAGGTTGGTTTGAACTGCAAGGTCAGTGGTTCAAACTCACCAGCTGCTCCTTGGAAACCCTATACAGAGTCACTATGACTTGGAACCAACTGCATAACACTTAACAAAAACAACCACAAAGCTGATGAAACCCATTCAGAATATTGTTTTTAAATATATAAATTGCAACACACAGGGTTAAAAAGAAAACCAAATTATACTGAAGTATGATTCACAAAATATTTCGAAATTGTGATAGTAATATATGTACTTATTTATTAAGGTACTTGTCATACAGTGCAAGATCTAATACGTACTGTAAAGCTAAAGTAATGAAAAACATATATGACATTTTCTGATATCTGCAACAATATGAAAATATCTGTAATTTCTAATGGTGACAAATGTTGCTAATACTAATTGTGTTCTCTGAATCCTACATTCAAAACAAAATAACTAAATCTGTGAAAACTCATTCAAAATGAAGATGCAACTTTCCTCCCATCCCAGTTCATTCCATCCTATTACACCCTTTGAATTCTATCAGGGGCTTTTTGAGCAACCCAGGAACTCTCCAAAACTGTGACAAGTGTTTTCCACACAGTGTACTGGGCTTGTAGGTACTGTCTGACCTTGGGTTCTTCATTCTGAACCAAGTCATCTGGCACCCACTTTTTACTGGCAAAAGTAATTATTAAAATAATAGATATATTTTTTTAAGATTTGAACAACTTAGATTGATACTATGTAAGAGTAACTGTCAGAAGAATTAATTTTTTTTAAAGTAAGGTCTAATTTGCTATTTTCTGTCTGTTTTGTAACTTGGAACACCAACATACCCTAAGTCCTTTGGAACCGCAAGTTCGGCGGTTCAAGCTCACCAGCTGCTCCTTGGAAACCCTACACAGGGTCGCTATGGGTCAAAGGCATGTAACAACAACAAATTTGACTATGAACGGATTGATTAGCTTGTCTCCCCACCCCACCCTCCAACTGTATTTTTAAAAAGTCATTGAATCTTCCTCTAGTGATCAAACTTTGCAGGGACTCCAAGGCTGGGCCTGCAAACCGTCCCCTCCCCCAATCGGGGTTCTCCCTTACAGCCAGCAGTTCTAAGTACTCTAGCAAGAGTTCTCTCAAACTCCCACACTAATCAGAGGTATTTTGCCTTTCGAAAGTTCTTTTCTCACTGGAGTAAACAGATGTGGGGGGTGGGGAGGGAGCCTCTTAACCACTGCCGGCAGCACAGCCTCCACTGTTCCTCCTCCTTAATTAGGAGGCGGGTACTGCTGCTCTCAGAAGATAGGCTTGCTGGCGCTCTTCTGAGAGGAGCCGCTTTGTAACCATCATCTCTTTCTCTGGACAGAACTGGTATTTCACATAGCTCAGAGACTGCTAGAAAAAGCTGCACATACCATGAGTGGCGCTGTGGGCTAAGGCGTGAGACTTCAAAGTCTTGGCACTGCAAGGCTGGTGGTTCAAGCTCACCAGCTGCTCCTTGGAAACCTTATACAGGGTTGCTATGAGTCAGAATCAACTCGACAGCAGGCCCTTAACAACCATAACTGGGTCTGAGTCAATAGTGCAGGGTTCTGGTCCTGCTTCTACCGCTCTCTACCTAGATAGAGGTTCTGGCAAAAACCTGGGAGTCACCCCAACTCCTCCCCTTTTTCTAGCCCTTAACAACCAATTTAATCACTATACCGTGTAGATTTTATTTTTTAAAGGGTTCTTAAACACACTCCTCCTCTCCTGCCTCAATGTTCCCTCAGCTCCCACGTGGAATACTGTAGTCACTGGCTGAAACCTGCAGGCACCCGTACTCTCTGATCCAGATGAATCCACTCTTGCTGCAGTGTGCTGTGAGGATAGGAAACTGCAGCTGCTAGCAGGATGCACTATAAACTGTTGAGCTGACTAATGACTGCCAACCAGGAATGCTAGTTATTTTTTCTATCTCTTTCTTTAGAATCCCAGCCTCTCCCACTGTCTCCGGCTATGCTTCTGCAGGTGCTGTTTTCAGCCTCACTGCGCTCAGGCTTGCTGAGCTTCTGTGCGTCCTCACAACCCAGGCAGAGCATGGCCTCCTCTACAGAGCTTTCCTGAGCAATCTGTCTTTTCCTCCTTTGGATCAGGAACATTCTCCAGGTGCTATGTCAATTTCAGTATTAACTGACTGCTCTAAGTAAGGCTTCCCACTCTAGATTGTTAGCTCCTTGGTGGAAACAGGGTCTATCCCTGAGACTATTTTGGATTCCCTGGGATTCACACAGTACCAGCTCATAGGAAGTGTTTCATGTTGAATGAATGAATGAGTGAAAGAGAGAGAGAAAACACCCTAGTATACATTAGCTCTGAGTTTTGAGGCAAGCCACAGTCAGTTGCATTACCTGTTAACTGAGAGCTCTGGGCCCATTCTGGAGACAAGTCCATCCCTAACAACTCAGGACACTGATGAGTCAAAGAACAACTTCCTCATTCATATTCTGGAGTAGCAAATAGTCTGTCATTAAAACAATGACAGCCAGTCATTTTTCTTTCTTTTTTAAGGATCTTAGGATT